AAAAAAAAAAAAGAAAACCGACAACAATACAAATTTTCCCATATTTGTCAAGAAGATAAATTACTCTCAGATATGCAGTCATTATTGTGGTCGAAAAGTTGTGACATTGAAAATGCCCAGATCTCTCCCCATTAAACTATTGATTATAAAATAGTCTTACTCTATCCCAGCGTTTAGTGCAGTATTTTTGGAAAATGGAAATATCTGCAGAATATCGCTGGCTGCATAATGCACTGAATGTACATTATTGACTAACGGTGACGTAGACCGAACTAAAGTGGCGCTATTTTTTTTGCCAGGTATCCTGAAACATAGAATATTAAAAGACCAACAACATGACAAGCAATTTAGGCGATAAACCATTTTATCGTCTTACTGAGTGTAAAGTTCTAATTGAAAAACAGTACTGACAATGAACAGTCTGGATCTGCATATTCACTCCCCGAATCCGAATATATTGGTAATTTTTCCAGCAGTGAATTTTCCATGTTGTCAACTGTCATACGGTAAGTGCTGGGAGAGAAACGCTAAAATTTTACAAAAACTTTCAGAACTGATTACAAGTTTTTCATCAAAAAATTAAAAAAAGACGAAAAAAATTAGGTAAAAAATAACTTGCATTTGCTCAGTTACCTTTATTGTATCACCGTCCAGTATCATCAGCTGAACATCTTTACCAGTTTTGTTGAAAACCGGTGATGACGATTTAACAGATATTGGTTTTCGACAACAACAGATCAACACGATGAACAATAACAGAGCAGCAAAAACGCAAATGAGACAACCGATTAGTGCTAAAATTTTTAATTTATAACTTGTAAAACCATCAGAGTAGTCTGAAAATTGCCGGATAACTCAAGGATGACAGAACCAAACAGTTTTCAGAGGTTGTTTTTTGCCACTTTTGAATGGTTAAAATTACCTGAACTATGTAAATATACACGTTCTTCCAGTGGGTCACTGATCGAGAAAAAGTTGAATTTACTATCAGCATGATTTGACTGTTCATTCTCAGCCTCTTCATTATCATCATAAACAAAATTGAATGGAATGTTGTCTAAAAAAAAAAGTTTTTATTTTTGTCTAAAAAAATAAATAGCTGTTAAGCTTTAAAACGTTCAATAAAATAAAATTTGAAAAAAAAAGAGTAGTGAAAGATAACAATTAAATTTTGCGATATGAGCAGAACAAATATTTATTATGACAGTTGTAAAAATATCGCTATTATATTATCACGAGATAAAAATCATTGCTTTATTGGATATTATTTTCTGTTATTAGTCTCAAATTTATCTCAACAATTAATTCTCTGACTATCTTCGTCAAAAAAAAATATCTATAATATATGTTACTAAAGAATTTGAAATTTTACTTGACTCAAATTTGACTTCGCTTATCAGAAGCCAATCTGCATCATCAGCAATTTTAAGTTGAACCTTTATTTTGTATGCGAGACGGTTTGGTACCGGGATACGAACCCAACTGAAAATAATCAGTTATATTCTTGACTTCCTTTTTCTTCCTCCCCCGCTTTCAATTCGTCTTCCAAAATAAACAGTAAATTAGTTGAAATGTTAAGCATCGTACGTTTGCTATAACGTCTGACAATTTGACTATATATTTGAATAGCTTACCGTGCTGCATTAAAGGTATAGTCGGGTACATACTGAAAGAATACTGTTCTTGGAGAGTATAAGCTGTTAGCACGTGATGAGAACAGAATCACTGCACTTTGAAACACCTTTAAATCTTACTTACATTAGTAACTTTCTATATCTTCTAAAACAGAAAAAAAAGTAAGAAGCAAAATCAAAAAATTAAAGAAAAAAAAAAGCAAACAGCTAAAATTTACCTGTGCTCTATGTTTTAAAAAATTTGAAACATGAAAATATATAGCAGAAATGTTTCGTTGTTCGTTAAATATAAATTCCATCCAAACGGTTGATCCTAAAAACGTTGAATTGTTGTTGTACAGTACACTCATATAGATTCATTAAACAAAAACAAAAAATTGATATTATCAAATGATATTCTACCAGCATAAAAAAAATTGAACAAAAAGCTGAAAAAAGTCACCTTGTAAATCTTTTCTCCAACCAACCCATTTTTCTGGATGTTTTTCGAAGTTATCGTCGCCAACGACACCGTCATACAGCTTACCGATACCATTAACCAGTGTTCCGGATGCATTTGTTCGTCCATCATATGTATAATCTTTCATATCTAAGCCATCGGCAACACTGCCATCCGGAATCGAATATGAAGACAGTGACTCTGCAAAAGTTATATTCTGTTTATCAGTTTTTTGCTGGTGTTTAAACAGTTCAAGTATTACTATAGAGGTTCAATTTTATTTAGCAAAGAAAAAAAATGCAGTTTAGTAAATAGACTGTTAAATTTCTACCTTTATATGGACAACCGTAAAGTTCAATACGCATGCATACGGTTCTGATTGTTTCTGAAACTGGAATGATACGAATCTTTTCTGTTATAATACTGCCATCCAAAACTCGTAGAACCGGTGATCGGGTATCTGTGTTTCCAGAAATCACCTGAAAATTAATCATTTGTTTTTATGTATTATTTTTCTAATTTTTTGGTTAAAATAGGCCACTTTTACAATTGTTTAGCAGTAATTACAAGAACTGTACCTAAATTATTCATCTGTTGAACATTTTAATGATTATGCAACAAATACTTGTCAATAAAACATCTGTGTTATTAGCTTATGGTTTCTTATTGCAACAATAAATTTGTTTCTCTTCCTCTTCCCCATCAAAAAATAAAGTAAGTTTTTTGATACAGCAATTAAATATTAGCAGCAGTTAATTTCTATAAGTTATTAAAATTTAATTTAAACTATGTTTTCGGGTCTTACAACTTTATCTGTAGACACCTCTGTACAATTGATAAACAAAGTTATAATCTGCTAAATTTTTCGCTTAATTTCTGCGCCTTCTCGAATTCAGCAAATGACAGATTGGTCGATATCTTCGAGTTTATTAGTTGATAACCTACTATTACTATTGAACAACTTCAATTGAGCAAAGATCACTAAGACTCAACTGCTCTGAAACCGTGGTCCCGTGTTGCGTAGTTGTAACTCATATTTTGAGCCCAATTGGCTACACAAAACTGATTATTTAACAGTTCCAAATAAATTTGTAGACCAAAATTTTTGAATAGTGTAAAATAGTTCTCTAGCTTTTTTTCTAGTAATCTCTAGCAGAGAGCTACCCGTAGCTTTGATATTACAAAGCCCCAAAATTGTTTGACATTTATGTTTTGAAAGTTTCTTTGAAAAGAAAAGTAATTATTGGTTTTTGTTCACACAACGTAATGCTACTTATTGTTATAGGCATCCGAAAATAGGTTGGTTTTGTTATGAAACTTTTTATTGTCTTCAGTTCTGCAGATATTATCACGTAAGTGTTTGTTCAACTGAGGTGCATAGAGCATGGTAACGATCAAAGGGTTTTGTCGCAGAAACGGGCCCACTGGAGAATTGGCAAAAAGCAAGAAGAGGATCGGAACATTTAAACGATACTAAGTGACCATTAGCAACAGCCAAAATAGCATCTGATGACAATTGATGGCATCTTTTGTGTTCAACTTCCGCTTTATCAAAACCCCTGTTTTTTTTCCATCTTTTTTTTTTTTTTTGATGATTTCAACTAGAAAAAAGAACAGACACAGCAGTAATGCAAAATAAATGAAAAAATTTTTTTTATTGCAAAATATGTCACGCAATCCCTCTCAATATGTTTTTAAAACAACACTAATTAGATCTTTTTCTTTTTATTTTTTTATTTTTTTTGCCTTTTCTTCATGCTATTTAGACTTCTGATGTTTATGTATCCAACTGGCTGAATGGGTAAATATGCTGCTGAAGATGCACTATACAATTTTTTTTTTTTTGGCGAAACACACACAAAAAAAGAGCTCCATTTTCCTTCAAAAAAAAAAAATATTTTTTTTTTGTTTAAAAGAAGGAAAACAATTATGAGAAAATGACGGATCATAAAAAAAATTTATATGTATTTTCTTCTTTTTTTCAGTGTTAAAAATTCGTTATTATTCACTGTTTTTGCAAAACAACTTTTATGCATTTTTTTACAACTTTTAAAAATTACTGCTGCTGTCGTTGAAAAAAAAAAAAGAAATATAAATGTATACTAAAAAAGAAATAGGAAAAAGAGAAGAAGAAGAAGAACTAACAGTGTTTTGTTAAAGCTCGTAAACATTATTTAAGAAATAATCTTTTAAAACAGAAGAAAGATGCTTTTCTTTTTTCCTACCAAAAAGCATAACAATTGAAAGTTCATTTCAGAAGTTCTGTCGACTAAACTGAATACAATAAAAGCATTTTAAAGCATTAACAAATTTCCTACCACGTTCATAACACACCGAGATTGATACATCGAATCTAAACACATTGTATCTGAGTTCTGCCTAGCCACTTAAAAAAAAGATTATTGCTGTATTTCAATCGTCAAACTATTAAGGTGCACTTCAAAATTGGTTAATCTGATGAGTAGGTAATTAAACTGATACTTGACTGTACACCAAATTTAAAGATCAATCGGTAACAAATCTAAACAGTTCAGCAGCAGTTAGATGCTGTTACCTCATTTTCAGTGTAGTCCTTGTATCTGGCCCAACTACCAAGACTGTCTCTCCAGTATTCAAGCATATAACCTGGTGCATATTCCATTCCTCGCCCTTCATCGTATCGACCCTGTGTTTCCACAGCCGATACAACAGTTGAACCGGTGAAATCAATTTGTAACCATTCTTTAGTTTCTGCACCAATTTGATTTTGCGGACACCATGCTCCGCTTCCAGATTCAGTTCTTATTCTGCAAACAAATTTTTTTGCTCTAAATGTGCAAAAAAAAAGGTGTTGACTGAAAACTGTAAAAGAAAGGGGGAAAAAGGAAGAGTGAAACAAACTTATAAGTATAGCGATTTGTATGTTATGTCCAATAATTTATCAATTTTACTACAGTAAAACTCTATCGGTTTTAATATTCTTCCTGTTTTTTCTCACTTTTATTTCTTCATCTACTGAACATGCCAACTTAGTCTATACAATCTTTTCCAAATTTTTGTTAGATAAAATAACGAATAAAAAAAAATTAGAAGAAAGAATTAAGAATTATTAAACATCAAAGTGATACAATACATCTATCAATTTTAATTGAATGTTCACTAAAAAGATACTAATTAGAAGCTTTTTATAGCTGAACAAAACCCGACAAAAGCTTTGCAATATGGATACATCAACCAATGCATGAAAATCATTTGGCATTCCCAATTATGGCATTATATATTATTGCAAAAAACTTTCATTCTTGTGCCAAATCTTTAATTCCTTTTATTTCTTGAACTGGCAGCTTAATGATTCTAATTTTAAGCACTTAAAAACGAGCACATATATACGCTCATAGCCTTCAGTTTTGGCTTTGTCTCTTTCCCCCCTTGGTCATTGTGTTAAATAATCAACTAAAGGAATTATTTAGACCAATCTTCAGCACTAATTTATTGAATTTTCTTTGAAGGTGAAGAAGTTTAAAAACAGTTAGGCAACACATTTGAAGAGGATAGATTGTGTAATTGCTGTTAAAATATGCCTTTCAACAAAAATGATGCCGGTCCCAATATTTTCCAACAACATAACATAATTATTGTCGGCACACTTGAAAATTTGTTCGGATAACAAAACTTAATCAGCATTTTTAAACAGAGAATAAACTAAATTAAAATTTTCAAGACCCTAAAAGTTGACCTTCCTTAACAAATTTTAACTTTGCTTAAGACTATTCTGTTGTCTCATACATCTTAACAAATTTCTCAATTTTGAAAATAAAAGCTTTTTTCATTGTTTTAAAAATGGGGAAAAAATCATAAAAACTTTTTTTTTACCGAGCATTTTGAGGTCCAGTGCTTTGCAAATCATGGCTGGAACTTGCCGACAGTTGATCCTCGGTTATTCGGCCAGATTCTAGTCCCAGTGGACGATTGCAGTCTCCTAAAAAAAGTTGCTTTTAAATTTACACCTGTCTTCCTGACAAATAATACAGATAAAAGTGTCTTAAAGCTTAGTCAATACTGTTAATAATTACACTGGTTTGGGTTGCTTGTAACGCACACTGATACATTCATTTCCCCCTCCCTTTCTTGCCCATTACATCGCCAAAATAGATCATAACCAAAAGTTGGATACGAAAGAAAAAAAGAAGAAAAAAAACACTTTTTAAAACTTTAATTACTTCTCCTATAATTATAGGTATCCAAATACACCGGAAAACAATAATTTTAGGTTGACAATGTATTCAAAGAATCGGCGGTCAGACATTTCTACTTTATTTGTGAATGCATAAATTATGCTCAGCTGCTTGCATGAACTATATGATCTGATGTACACCCGCAGTGCTATTTAACTTCATCATTTACACTTCCAGCAAAGCCCAAAAAAAGGCAACAACAACGACCCATAATAACACTGCAAAAAGTAAGCGATGGGTTCATAGATTCCGTTGTTAACCTCAGTCATAAAAGGAAAAGAAAGGATAAGATGGTACAGTAAAGAGTAAATTTTTGCAATATTCTTGAACCGTATGGTTACACAAATTTCTGACCCATTTTGTAACCAATGATATCCAACTGCCATTACTGAGGATAATCATTGGGGTTAAGTCAGTTGACAAATACATAGATATATAATATATATACAGATGAATAATATGTTGTTTGTTCAAACGATATTATTCTTACATTGAAAAATGAAAAAAGAGATCTTGTTATAGTTTACTGTAAAATACCTTTAGAAGAGGATTAAACATTGCAGTTAAGAATAGTCAACAAGCATAAACTTTTAAAAAAAGTGCTTCAAATAAAACAGAGTTATTTGTATAAAATGTTGTTGGTAAATTATCATTAAAATTTTCTACCCTTTTCTTGTTAAAATTATAAAAAATCATAAAATATTCTACAATATACCTGTTAAAGAATTTCTAACAAACCATTTGTCATTATTTTTTATGCTCTGATAGTAATAGTTGTACTGAATAATCACCTGTTACATAGTCATTCTATATATCTAAAGAATTCATGTTTTTTTTTTGTTAAAACTGGTGAAGATAAAACGAGGAAAAAAAAGATCAAAAATTAGCAAAAAAAAAAAAAGTTCCTAGTAAAAAATTTCAATTTAAAGAAAAAAAAAAGAAACTGAAAAATTTGTTTCTTTTGTCAAATTTTTTTTGTGATATAATCTGTCATTTTCTGAGTGCACAGTTAACGTGTATATCTGTAAAATTTTAACTTTTGATACTGATAGCAGATAAATTCTGTTTGGGTAGTAATTGAATGGTTCAGTAAAACAATGCAGTTGCTAAGCAAAAAAAATTTTTTATATTTGTAATAAATCGATCTATTTAGTTTAGTCTTTTTTTTGCTTTTTGCTTTTTCTTCTGTTCCACTTTTTGTTTTTGGCTGCTATTGTTATTATATTTATGAGATATAAAAGTGAATAAAAATAATTGTAAAATTAGCGTATCTGCTTGATGCTTTGTTGACCTCTAATAGGCCGATAATAATAAGACAGTTAGTTAAATAGAGAGCGCGGTACACAGAACTGCTGCAAATGCTGTGAATTCAGTTGTCGAAGTGGAATCTGGGAACAGTGGGTCACAAACAGAAAGCAACCAAAACACCTAACATTGTTCCATCTCTTTA